AACGCTTAACTGTAAGCAAAACCCCATTTAAAAAGCATAAAAAGTATAAGCAAACCAAACCAAAAGTTTAACATAACAAAAAGAGACCATTTCTCCTTAAAAAAAACAACAAACTCCCATTCCAAATGCCAGAGATAGCCACCCCAAATAGCAACCTATCCCATTCAAATAAACATTCCATATCTCAACTTTAAACTATTCACAAACATAAAGTAATCCCAGCATCCTAATACAAAAAAGGACCAAAATTTAACCTAACAAAAAGAGCTAATTTTTCCTTTAAAAAATTCATATAATTAGATATTAAGCATTTAGAAACTAAACAATTATGATACAGAAAATGGCTATAAAGTAAAAAATGTAAACACCAAATGAGCAAATCCAGTATACCACATTTTTTTTCCAGTCAAAATATCAGTAAATCCAAAAAGAACCACCCAGAGTAACAACATGCCCCATTTTAACCCTGGTCGAATAAGCCAATTTTATATTCCTTTTTTTTAATACAGAACGTCTTTCTCTGTAATCCATTCCAGTAGTTGTTGATCCTTGTTATGAATTTCTTCCATTCTTTGAGCAGTCTTTTTTAAATCCAACAAAAAAGAATTATTCCCATACAGTTTTCTTTTTGCAACTGATGGCAGGTTTTTATCCAAAGCTTCATTCATGCTATTCTCAAATGGAATTTGTTGTATATCTTGTTCTATAACATCTTGTTCTGAATACAGATTATTCCCAAAAAGACACAACGTAACTGCCATAATTGATTCAAAGTCTCAACACGGTCCTCGGTGGAGTTCCTTGAAGATATCTTTAAATGCCATGATAATGTATTTCCCACAAATAAGTATTTATTCTTTAAAAATAATGTCAAAGCCTTAATATTCAAAGTTCAGCCAATGTTTTCTGAGCCCTTAATCTTTTTAAAACTTTCTGTAGCTAGAACCTTGTCTTGTTTTTTGCTGTTTATTTTAAATTCTTATATGTTAAAAAAAAAAAAAAATCTCCATTTTCTTGTTTGAAGGTTTGAAGGTACTCACTCGCCAGGTGTTTTCACCTTGTTCCTTTGAGGGTGTTTAACTTCATTAAAGCTGCTAATAAGCTATTTCTGAAGGAAGTTAGCAAGGGAAGTATGCGAACTTAGTGTCCTTTAAAAGGCTCTATTTGTGGCTAGAGCAAATATGGCAAATTCTGTCTCCAGATTACCCCTCCCCCCCCACCAAAGATCACTGTCTTGCAGTCTCTTTGTGAGGAAAAGGGACAACCATAAGAAGAAAGAGCTTGAGCAATCTCGCGTCTCTCTCTTTTATCCAGAGACGATCAAAGGAGCCAATCTGCTAACTGGCTCCTTAAAAAAGTCCACAAATGTTTTCAGTTAGCCATCTTCTCTGGAAGTCAGGAATAAATATGTCCCAGGAATTTTAAATTGCTTTTTTAAAACCTTGTATCTTTCAGAATTTGAGTTGGCTTATTTGCAATTGTAAAATAATAACACTGATTTAAAGGCTGAAACAAATAAGCCAGAATATGGAATATGCCTCTGTCTAAATGAAGACAAAAACTACAATTAAAATAATCTGGCACCTAAGCCAATCATTAGGATTTGGAGCAGATCCCATTTACTGTTAGCATTATAAAGTGCCATTAACAAAATTATTTACTCTTGCTTATTGCAACCTTTTAACAATACATAAATATTTATTTCAAGGTATATCCTCTTTGAAATAGTTGTTGGCTAAGCTCTCTGCTGAATGAATCGCTTACAGTTTGTATGAGTTTCTTCTCAGGCAAACAAGCAAGAGCGGGGTCATTCTGCTATGTGTGTGATAAATGCTCTTTGAACTACAATTCTGAAAACAACTTGTTACTGGGTAACTCAGGCTAAATAACATTTCAGAAATGAAATATATTTTGTCTGGGGAGAATGATGTTTGTTTGGAGTGGGGTGGTAGTGGACAGCTATCCAAATTTAACTCAATCTTCATAGTATTTCTTGAGGTGTTTTAGCCAAAAACATTTTAAAATACTGCTCCATAGAACCTTACTACATTTTCACAGCTCTTAATTACTTTGATGGTTGGCCACCTATTGCTATGATATTAAGATTGCTAATTGTGAATTCCTGCCTGGTTGATCACAACCAGGCATGCATTAATCAAAACACCTATTCATAGGGTGAGGACTGGGATAATGCAATGAATTATAGGTTTTCAGATCTTTCTGCATAGCCTTTTCTGGTGATCTTTTATACTGTTGAGGTGTGTGGAGGTGCTCAATCCTATCAACTTGCTTTTACAGATGAAACAAGAATGATTTGATATCTTGTAATTTGATTTTTCTAGATGTATGGAATTCAACTAGGTTCATATTAATAATTGAAGTGTTACAGTAATAGCAACAACTTTACCTGAGCAATTATCACTATCCTCAATAATATAATACAAAGTTAAGCCTAGAGAAAAGCAATTCATAACATGCTACACACCCATAATTTATTTGTCTCAGATATTTATTTTTTGTTAGTTTATTTATCTCTCTCTTCAATGTACATCAGTTTTAGGCTAGCTATTTATGTTTGTATCACTCCTATGTTAAATAAAGTTGTTTTATCAAGAGAATGAGTATTTTTCTTTTAAGGAAGAGATAGAGTTTTTACAGCTTTTTAGTTAAGGGGGGAAATAACCAGGGATGAAATTATATGTATTTATAAAATGTTGAATATTATGTAGAGAAAGTGGATAATATGGATTTTGTCTTTCCTATCATAATGCTAGAATTTGGGAATCTCCATTAAATAAGAGTATATTCAGGACAGTTAAACAAGAGTTGTTCACATGATGCATGTTTAATTCCTGGAATCTACAACCATAGGACATGGCAATATCTAAAGATATATTTTGCTTTAAAAGGAATTGGAAATTTGTAAAATCTCCATGTTAAGAGCAAATCTGTGTCACCAAAGACATCTTGTACAGCAATAGTGGGAGAGGGGACTCTTATCTTTAGTACCTGCTTGTGTTTTCCTAGATCGCTAGTTTGATCCCACATAAGTATTTTTATATTTTTTGTTCAACCATGTTGGAGTTCTTAGCAAACACTAATCATGTCAGAGGTGATAAAGAGCTCCGCTAAACCAAAGGTCCGTCTAATCCAGTATTCTGTTTTCTACAGTGGCTAAACAGACACCTATAAGAAATCCAGATGCAGGACATGAAATCAGTAATTACCAATTCCTGTGACGCCCCCTCCCAAATAATTTAATTTCTCTAAGCATGACTAATAATTAACTGCTGTTAATACAACTGTTCATATATTTTTCTAATCACCTAAATTTTCTAATCCTGTGGTCCTCTATACAACAGTTCTAGTCTTGTGAAATTAACCCCTCCCCAAAATGAATATTTAACATTTCTAGCCTGTTAAATATATGTTCTTGTATATTTATATATATAGACAGATTCTCCAGCTGGTTTAAATACTAGATAAAACTATATTTTACACTGATCTATACAACATTATGAATAACATAAAAAATTCTTTTTAAAATATAGGCAAAGAAATCAATTTATTTCCATCTCAGTACACTGGCTGATTTTGCAATAGAAATGTTTGATGTTCTTGATGAAATCAACTATCAGTCTTACAATGATTTTGTTCTTCGGGTTGGTGAGTTACATTTTTAAGAATGAACTCTGTGCTGTTTTTGTTTCTGTCAGCTTCACGATAGAGATTTTTAAACAAAATAAATTCTATGTCCTGACAGGATAAAGTAAACTAGATAATATTATGGCTAATAGCCACATAAATAATTTTCTTCTGCCTAACTTGACAACCGTTAATTAATTAATATTAAAGTTGTGGAAAATGTGCAGGGACGACCAATCATAATAAAAGCAGTCTTCTAGAAATAGGAATTCCATAATTCCCCATATAGTAGGGAGAAGGTTTCAGAGAGATGGGGGGGGGGGAACCATAAGCAGCAAAGAGGCACCTCCAGATACTTGTATGTGTCCATAGATGGAAATAGTCATAGGAATATGGGAAAGAATATGCTAGATACATGACTTGATTAGAAACAGAATATGTCTTTTATTGGATATAAAAGGCATGGTATTTTGGCCAGAATCCTGTCTTCAACAGTCATATAGTGTCAAAGCATTTGCTTAGCCTGCTTACACAGAAGGTGGGAGAAAGTAACTTATGGAAAAAGCTTATTCCATTTCCATGATTGACAGTCATCTACATAGCAAAGTAATCATTGGTGCCATATCCTGGGGTGGATAGACTGATCCACTGATCACAGACTGATCAGGCCAAGTTTTTGCTGTGTGAAGAAGCTAATAATGTGATTGCATTTTCCTTCAGTCATGGATCTTGCTGAAGTTCAAAAACTTGGGATAAAAACAGTTGTGCAGCAGAAGCAACACTACAAGTATATACACAGAATAAGATTGCTATAATGAAGGCAAAAATCCTGGACTTAGCAAAATATGGACATGAATAAATTTCTTCCCAGCCTTGACAATCCACTGTCAATTCTTGGAGTGCATAACTTAAATTTAGCTGGGTAGCAGAATGAGGGTAGACACAGTCACATACACAGTGGTGGGTGAACTCACCCCTTATGTCTGCAGTGAGAAGACCAAAGAGAAATATTCTCTCTACTGATCTACTTCAGCTTGTGCCATCCCAGATAATTAACTGTTGGTAGTGTCCAGACATTAAACATTCATTTTCCCACCAACACCATCTCCCCTGAGGTTGACCCAAAGTGGAACTCCCATTGAAGAAAAGCCTAAGCTTATCAAATGCGTTGGCAGCTATAATTTTCAAGCTACTCAGTGTTAATTGAAAAGGTGCTATAGGCCTTTCTTTTAGACACCAGTGAGCATTTATTAATTGTTTATTAGCAGAATTTGTGACATTGTCTACAAGCTGCTTCTGTTTTCTCATCTGGAAGCCTATAGGAAGGAGAAAGTTAGCATTCATTCTTCCCCATCTCTGTTTACAACTGGGGGCACCTTGAGAATGTCCTGTAGACTAGAGCTGCACAGATTATTTTTCAATTTCAGTTTCTTAGTATCAAATAGCAATTTCAGTAGAATAGAAATGTATCCTTGAAAAAAAAGTGCCACAGACACTTCTGTGTCAGGCTCCATGCCCCACAAGATTTCATTTTTTTTTTTTTTAAGCGTTTGGCTTCTGTCACTTTTTCAGGTATTAATGTAGGCCCTGTGGTGGCAGGTGTTATTGGTGCCAGAAGACCTCAATATGACATCTGGGGTAATACAGTAAATGTTGCTAGCAGGATGGATAGCACTGGAGTGCAAGGTAAAATTCAAGTGAGTATTTTCAGAATTCTCTTATAAATTACATCAGTCTTAATAAAATACCCAAACAGTGGATTGTTCTAAAGCTATAGTGAAGTTCCACCTATGGGAAGAATGTTGAACACCTCCCTGTCATGCTAAGGAATCATTACCAAAACTGTAATATCAGGTGTCTTAGTAGAGAGCAGCTATGTCTACCTTCAGTAACATTCCTACAGCAATGCTTTATTACTACTAATAAATAGACCCCCCACCCCAATCATCATTCATTTAAACAGGGGAGAGACGTTTAAACTTGAAATCCTTCTACAAGATGAGAATCTGCACATGGAGAGAATCAAGCCAGGTTTTGTTTATTGTTTTATGGGGTTTTGTTTTGTTTGCACAGCTTCATCTTTCCAAGGTTTTATTTCTTCCTTATATTGTTTGTTTGTTTACTTGAACCATTAAATGTTTCTCCTACAGAGTGGGATCAGAGGCACTTGATAGTACACCAATAAAACAGCCATTAAATACAATGTAAGTTATAATATCTTTAAATAATTAGCAGCAAAAGCAACAGACATAACCCTCCCCTTCCCACACACAGAGAGAACATGAATTAAAAAATATTAAAAGTTGCAAGGACAAGAGATGAAAAATCCAAACATGGCAACGGATTGAGACAAATTTTGGCATTTAAAAGATAATTATGGAAGCAGAAGACAGATTTCCCTTAGGAAGGGGTTTGAAACAGCGTAGCAAATGCTCTTTTCTCTAAAAAAAAATAAATAAATAAAAAATGGAGTTTAGGGAACTGGCTTTTAAAGAAAGATTTGTTATCTAGTGATTGTCAGTGACTGTGGTTTGTTTAATTCACAGGTTACTGAAGAAGTACAGCGGATATTGAAGAGGTGCAATTACGAGTGTGTTTGTCGGGGGAAAGTCAGTGTGAAAGGCAAAGGTGAAATGCTGACCTATTTTCTAGAAGGAAAGACCGATGGAAATAATTCACAAACACGATCTTTAAACTTAGAGAGGAAAATTTATTCCTATGGGAGAGCAAACATTCAGACCAAACTGGGCACAAGTTGTCCATCTATGTGCTCTTCCCCCAGCCTTTCAACAAACACTGGGGCTGGAACGCTTCAGCCACCATCAGCACACACTAATCAGACACTCCATTATCTTCCTTCTGTGCCAGCCATAAAAGAGGCATGAAAGCAATGAAAATCTTTGTCCTGCCATTTGAGTGTACAGCAGAGGTCACCAGAATTTTTTTTTCAGAGAGGTTAAGGCTGCAGAATTTGATATCAACCAAGAAGTCTACAACCCAACCAAAGAGAACTTGGGAACTGCTAATAAGAACTTATGGGAAGGATCAAATAAGGGCTAGCAATTCTGTTAGGAGAAGTCTAATGCTGATTCTCTGAAAATATGGAATATTTTATCAGTAATTTTAATAGATAAATGGGATTACAGAGAAGTCATGCCGGTGAGACTGAATATTTACATAAACAACATGCACTCACATATGTACGTGTGTGTGAGAGAGAGAGATTGTTGGCATTCACTACTGATTTTCCTGCTGTAAGCTGTCATGCAGAAGTGTTGACAATATCATATGGCAGAAGTTTATATTGGCAGAGAGAATGTTTGTATGATCATATCCAATGTGCTTGCATCTAATGTCTATAGCTGCTGTTTAAGCACAGGGTGATGATAAATTTGATTTATCTGAAGATTTAAGCAAGCACTGTGGAATACTTTCCCATAGTATTTGGAGGAAAAAAAGAGAAATTTTCAGCACTTGCTGTAATGTAGGAAGTAGCAAGTCTTAAAGTAAACAAATGTAGCTTTTAAATTTTACTATGTTTTTGTATCTTTGAGTGTTTCCCAACTGTGTAGCAATGAGTCAGAGATCAGAGTGTAAGTAGACTTATTGGAGATGTTGGGTACTAATCTAATCTGTCATAATTAGGAATGGCTTCCTATTCACACACAAATTTGGCTATGGCAGGTTTTATCTCATACTGTTGCACAGAGTCCCATAGAAGCAGCAGCTCCCATATTGGAGATGTGAATAGAATTCCAATTAACTATTCCAGGACAGAGTGCTACTGAAGTGGCAGCTGCGTGCATGCCAAAAGAATATTAAACTGTAGAAAATTATGCCTTTTCAGTTGGCCAAATGGCCATGTTAAGACATTTATTAAAAGCAACTGAATTATAGTACATTTGTCAACTAGACACCTACATAGTACTGTTCCCTGAACCGTTCATAGATTTCTTTGTGAACAAAAGCTTGTTCCTTTCATGAAATAGATCTTTCAGATCCAATCCATATTGTTTGATGCAAATCCTCTGCAGATGATTTCTGTGCTAAGATTGTTCTCATCTTTCATACGAAGATTCTTGTTGACAAATACATGATTTTTTTTTAATTCAAAGTTTAAACTTCTTATTTTGATAGGATCAATTAACGTATTTACATAGTGATGGTTTTAGCATCTCAAATGAACATAATTTTCATACTAACTTTATAAATGTTTTGGAAATGTCAGGTGGCCAAAATTAAGTTTTGTTGTATAAGAATGTTTTCTTCCTGGCTTTTGAATTCTATTTCAATGCCTTGAGTGCAGCTTCCAAGAAATGTCTCCATCGCAAATTCTGTTAATATAAACAGGAATGACTGTAAAGCACAAACCTTCTTTGAAGCTCACACAAATTTCAATTTACTTTCTATAAAACATATTCAAAGTGCTTGTCTTCTTTGTTACTTTTGCTTGAAACTGATGTAGTAAAGTATATAGCAGAAGAAGACACCATTCTCATCTGCGAAATGGCTGGTGAGTGATTTATAGACAAAAACCTGAAAAGGGAAATTTCTTGCAGATTTCAACTTCGCTTTGTAGTAGAGAAGCTGTGGCTGCAAAGGATATGCTATGTCGTCATTTTAGCAAACTTAAGTCCAAATGTAGATAACCTTTATAGGCACTCAGACCTTTTTGATCATTACGCATAAAGAATATCCAGATGTTTGTTTATGAAGTTGTTGCCCGTTATTTATATTCATTTTAATCCTGATCAACATTATTCATATGAGTACTTCTAAAATACCATAGTGAACAATTTCTTTCCTTCTTCCCAGTGAAGAAATGTTTACTGTAAAACTTTGGTATATCTCAACAGCAGAATATATATAAAATTTAGAAACACTGATTATGAAAGGTGGATGCATTGGGAAGATAAGAGTATCTTTGTTTTTTTTAAAAAAAACAAACCTCTGGATTTCTCTTTATATTCTTCAAGACTTTATTACAAAAAGTATTACTTTTACTGTAGTACAATCTCTGTTGTTGCATTCACAAGAATACTGATCTGCCAGCAAGAGACAGCACTGCATTGCATTTTCCCTCAGTTCCCATTCATTTAACTAAGATATCTTCATAGTTTTCCAGTGGATCTATTGTCTCCTAGGCTTCAGCTGAATTATCTCTGAGTTTCTGTGATCACATTCATTTTATTTGCTGGTACAAACAGACTTTCATGATGACTTATCATCATGTTGGCTTTGATCTATAAGAGAAAGCTTTTATTTTACTCCAGTGAGTTCTGAGGTATATTTGGAGAGTCTGTCACTAGACAAGTCTTGTTTCTCTTGAACTAATAGTTCATGTCTGATTTAAACACTGAATTTGGAGGAAGATTTTCAATGTAAAAAGGTAGTCTTTGGACTCAATAATTTCTTCTTCTCCCCCAACTCAGAAAAGAGACCAATTGAAAAACTTCATTTGTCCTTGGAATAGGACACCGGTTAAGAGATCTAATTGTCTATATGATGCTGTCAGTGTCACCATTTTCTTTATCCCACACTCTCCCCAAGTCACAGAAAAGGGGATGGAATTCATAAAGTTATTTACAAAAATAGTTACCTCTCCCCAGTTTTGGTTCAACTCTAATCTGAATTATTATTTCTTTTGATTACCTTTTTTCCAGTTCAGTGATTAAGAATTATCTTGTTTTAGTCCCCTAGAGAAGTATATTCTGACATATATGGTCCTATTTTAGTTAAGGAAATCAGACAATTCCTCAAGGGAGGTTAGCCTTTTTGTTTAACATGCATAAGCTGCTGTTCATAAAAGCTTACCTTGAAAAAAAATTACGTGGTTGGCAAATGATTATTAGGGATATGTCAGTAGGAAGCACAATATTTTACAACACTTGGCACAATTTACTCTTATAACAATAATTAAAGGGGTTTCGTTCCCCACCAGAGCAGAGAAGATATCCACGGTCGGGGGCAGGGGTAGGGTAACTTTTATATTGTTATGAAAAGATACTGGGTAGCATTATTAAGGTATCCGCAAACATTTTTAGATTTTCAGAAAAGCTTTCTTTAAAATAATTTCATAAGATTAAGTCGTGGCATCAACTGAGTGCCAGCATCTGCATGTAATTATACATGATGATTAGGCTTAAGATAGCTATTTGCAGGTTTTGGCCCGCTGCTGCCTTTATAGTAGCAATAAGGCAAAGCAAACATTACAGCTTTTATAAATTAGTGTATACTTATGCCACTTTGGAGATCTCAAGGTCCATTACTCAGCTACTCAAGGATCTGCATGTAGTCAAGGAATAGATCTGCACACTTCCCCCAAATTGTATGTGAAATAATGTGTGAGCAAGATGTGCCATATTTAAGCCCATCAACCTATAAGCTTAATTTGTATGTCTTTCAAATTATTTCACAAATTATACTTACCCACTGTCCAGACATGTTATTTTAATTTTTTTGTTCCTATGCAGCTGTAATCTTGTGCACATTTCTTAACCCAATGGGTATTACTTCTTAATAGACATTTATAGAATTGCATTGCTAAAATTGTTTATTATTGTTTCAACTTATACTATAGCAACTAAACCATTACATTTTATATATAGTGCTGAATATATGCTATAAATACAAAATAATAATATGATCGGAGGATGTGCATTATAAAAGTTAAATGAAACTTCAATACATGGATAGTATTTCCAAGTTAATAACTTATAAAATTCCAGTAAGTGCAAATTATACATATAATTGTAAAATTTCAAATAGACTGTGCTGATGGTGGTGACTTAAGCATATTCTTTCCATCAGCACAAATAAAGGATCCTCTTTATGTGAATTGGTCCAAAGAAACTGAATAAGAATCCTATCTAAATCACTTCTAATTCAATTGCTTGATTCTAGTTAGTGCAAGTCTCAACAAATGTGGAACACAGATGTGAGGGAATAAATTTACTTACTTATGGTGCCTCCATTGGATGTTCCTGGGCTGATTCTAGGACCAATAAATGCTTAGCCATTGGATGTAAAGTTCACATCACAGAATCAAGCTGAACGTGAACCTGAACCCAAACACTGATTTCTATTGCCTTGAATCCAAGCCAGAAATAGAAACCTAACCATGAAACATGAACACCAATTCAAAGAAAGTGATTCAGTAATATTTTCCTTTAAACCAAAGAAAAGTAAAGAGGAAAGGAATGTGAGAAAGAGTTCTAAGATTAATGTTTTCTCTACGTTTATCTGGATGAGGCTAATAAAAAGGCTATATATGACCTATTAGCATTTACGGAATTCTATTTAAAATCATAAGCATTACAGGTTTTTCAGCCTTTAATGTCTAATATATTAAAGATGATTTTGACTGTCAAAGCAAGAGGTACTTGTTTAAATGAAAGCCTATATATATGCATCATTATCTATCTGGGTTCTTATCTAGTAAAATGAATTAAGGATTTTTTTAAAATTTCCATTTATTGAATTAAGCACTGCTATGATAAGAGTTGTATATACATTTGCGGGGGGAAAACCATAATGTTTGTTGGACTTTAGGTCTGATGGTATACCAGAATATCCTGGAGACCACAGGAAAGACAAGCAAAGAATAGGAGGCAAGGCACTGAGAGTCCCACTGAACCAGCTGTAAAACATTAACCAAGTATTAGTAATCCCAGTCCTTTCACATTTCCAGTTCTAATCAGAAGATTAGCCATGATGTCCTTTCAAGTGAAAATTTTATATTAGAGGGACAGGCAACTTTTTTTTAATTTATGATAAAACTGTATGATAATGCCTTATTTATTTTTAATCTTGTATAGTATGACAACATTGGCCTTTCATGTTATTATTTATTTACTTTAAAGGAAGTATTGTATGAAATTTTGTAAATAACTTTAGCTATGAGAGGTTTATTGCATGTACACTTGGACTTTAAAAAAACTGCAAATGGGCACACTTTTGACAGATGCTAATGGTTTTTTGTAAACTGAAGTTTTACAAGTGCATGAATATAAACCCTTTAGAAATGGATGTCCTTTTGCTTCTCTTCTGGAATCTACTGCATGCCATTCATGCCTGACTTTGGTAAAAAAAAAAAATTGCTGAGAGTAAATTTCGTTTTACATGTTTTTAACATAATCACTTTTGACAGAGAGTTTTTAAGGCACGACTAGTTGCATGTGTGTGTGTAACAAAAGCAAAGCTAAAATTACAAAGCATCAGAAGAAAATTTAAATCTATCATATTCTGCCAACCTCGGTGTTGCTGGTCCACATTATATGATATATGAAATGTGCTCTCAACATCTATGCTACCTTTATAACAGTACCTTTGGTCATTAGAAGCAATAAATTAAACTCCACATACTGTAATATATCTATATCTATATATACACCTATATAAATGAGTGGAAGTAAATAGTGGCATAAAACTGAGTCACCAATTCAACAGGTACTGTTTTAATACCTTGCTTGACTTAGCAGGATAAGTAAATGATTGATTTTGGGCAGTGAATGATTCTGTAAAGCCCAGAACACACAAAAGAGCACAAAATTGCCCCTGTACATATATGATCATATGAAGCTGCCTTAGACTTGTAGCCCAAGTACTGACTGGCAGATTTTTCCCAAGATCTCAAGCATTTAGATCTGAATACATGAATATATGAAGTTGTCTTGTACCAAGGCTATTTGTTCCTTTGACCTGGTACTGCCTCATCTGCCTATCAGCTGCTCAGGTCTCTTCCAGCCCTGCTACCTGAGATTAAGTGGGTGGGATGGGATTTTATTTGGGAATTTATGCATGCAAAGCAAATGCAGTACTATGAAGCTGTGGCCTTTCCCATCCACAAAAAGATCATGTGTATCCTCAAAAGCATTTTCAGATACCGTAAGGGAAATCTCAAGGTGGTAAGAGTAAGACATCAGTTTCATCAGATTCTAAACAGGCAGAATTGCATGGGAAAGGGGGCAGAGAGATTTGGTTCAATAAAGTTACCTAGATTGTAGTTTTTTGTTGATAATTGCAATTAGTTTTGGTATTTGAGATAGACAGTATAGATATTTTTCATATTACCAAACATAATTTTTATTCAATGGCCTTATTTCTTGATTAATATGGATCCAAAAATAAATAGGTCAAACCAAAACTAAAATGCTAAGCTGAACTATGGGATTTTTTTTCAATGCAATCAGAATTTTTCCTTTTTGCCTTTATTTCATGAGATTTTCAAGTAAAGTCCAAAGCTACAATAGTACAGGTAATCCTTGACTTATGACCATTCATTTAGTGACCATTTTAAGTTACAACGGTGCTGAAAAAAGTGACTTATGACTGGTCCTCATGCTTACAACAGTAGTGTCCCCACGGTCTCATGATCAAACTTCAGGTGCTTGGCAACCGGCATGCATTTATGATGGTTGCAGCATCCCAGGATCACTTGATCGCCATTTGCGACCTTTCCGGATGGCTTCCAATAAGCAAAATCAATTGAGGAAGTATGTGATTTACTTAATGACCATGCGATTCGTTTAATGACTGTGTGATTAACTTAATGACCATAGTGATTTGCTTAACAACTACCACAAAAATTTCATAAAATCAGGTGTGGTCACGTGATGCCTTGCTTAATGACCATACTGCTTAACAATGAATTTTCTGGTCCCTATTGTGGTCGTAAGTCGAACACTACCTGTAATTGTGCTTTCAGAATGCACGTCCCAGTGAAATCAGTAGGGCTAACTTGTAAGAAGGCATGTTTGGGGCCCAGTTATAGTATTACCAGTAACTCCAATCCATTGTTAGTTATGCTTTTGTATCAGACATTGAGGTCCTTTCTAAATTATTTTGC